TTTTTAAACAAATATACACATGGGAGTCTCACTATGTTGCCCAGGCTGGTCTTAAACTCTTGGCCTAGTGATCCTCCTGCCCTCAAGCAGTCTTCTTGCCTCAGCTTCCCAAAGTGCTGGGATTACAGTCATGAGCCACCTTGCCCAGCTAGTATTACATATTTTTGATATATATATTTTTTCCCATCTGGTAGACAGAGGTAGGATTTTGATATTTACACGTTTAACCTTGGTCATTTTAGATGCTTAAAGCAATGCTAAATCATGATCTGTGTTAGTTTCTAATTATACTGAGGTATGAGTCAGGTTTATGCCGACTTAAAGGGTTTTATACAGGCATGAATCACTTAACCAGGGAATGATCCTTGCTTAATATCTGAATTGAAATGGAATTATGTAAATTAAAGTTATGTATTTATGTGATTCCAGTTAAGGCTCTGAATATTCACTTAATGTTCTGAATTATGTTTAGCTCATCTGGAGCATATTATTACTGAAATTAAATGTTTTAAAAGTGTTTGAACATTTATAAAGATCTCAAAACATGTTTCTTGTAAAATCCAGATAATCTTCTTTTATTTTTTTGAGATGGAGTTTCGCTCTTTTTGCCCAGGCTGGAGTGCCATTCTGGGCTCACTGCAACCTCCACCTCCTGGATTCAAGTGATTCTCCTGCCTCAGCCACCTGAGTAGCTGGGATTACAGGTGCGTGCCACCATGCCTGGCTAATTTTGTATTTTTAGTAGAGATGGGGTTTCACCATGTTGGCCAGGCTCGTCTTAAACTCCTGGCCTCCAGTAATTCACCTGTCTCTGCCTCCCAAAGTGCTGGGATTGCAGGTGTCAGCCACCATGCCCGGCCAATATCCAGATATTCTAATGAATCCCTGTTGTTTCTAACCTAAGCATTAAGTTTACCAATTACGGCAATGTGAGTTATTTGTAAAATTGGTTTGACTAGGTTACTTGTAAAATTATATCTCACGTAGTTCATGTTGTTTGTTTTTTCCAGGTAGCTTGACTGGATTGTTAATTATGTTGGGATTTAATTTTGTAATATTTGTTGATGAAACTTGTAGTCTAGAATTATTGCCTAACTGATCATAGATAAAAATTATAAGTTTGTTTGGTTTAAACTTAAAGAAAAAAGAGAAATATCATGTGCTGTGAAAATAGAAAGCTTGCGTAAAGAAAATAAGAGAAAGTATGTGCTGTGAAATGTTGGGCTGTGCAAAGGACCTAAAAATTACCTTGGGTTGTATCATATTTATCTTCATAGCCATTTTTAATACAACAACATGTACATTACGGTAGAATAAGTGTGTTTAATGAATGGAGATTTGAATTAATTTGCATATAAGAAACATACATTTTTCTCTGATTTTAGGAGGTGATAGCAAAGTACTACCAGAGTAATCTCTCTGAAATAAACTATTCCCAATTAAAATTCTTAGTCCTCCCTCCTGCTCTTAAAATGATTATTTCAGTTATTTCAAACGGCACTGTAAGGTTTCTTGTTAGTTTCTCCAATTTTATCTTTTCTGTTTTTGCTGTGTAAGAAGCGGCTTTCACTGCCGTTCAGCACCATTTTTCTTTTCTGTATATACCATGTTCTATCGTGCCTCTGTTTTACTGTGTAAGAAGCTTTCACTTTGCCTTTCATTCCCATTTTTCTTTTCCGTGTATACCATGTTCTGTTATACCTCTGTGTGTATCGTTCCCATGCCCTGAAAATTTTCTTTATTTTCATAGCTAACCCAGTCAGGTATTTATATTGGGTTATCTATACCAAGAAGTCCTCCTTATCCTTTTTTCTCTTTATCCAGCACTGTAATAGTGCATTAAGTTGTGGCACTCATTCATTGTACATTTAATCTTTTTTCTCAGAAGGAGTCTTCCCTCTGATCTCCATACTTCCTAGTGTCTGTCAGATACCAGATTTAACCTGAATTTAAAAATCTTATCACATTAAGATCAGTAATAAGAACTTGTGCATTTTGAAGGCATACAATTAGTTGATGTTTTCGAATTAGATTTTAGACTCTGAAGTGTATGAATTTCTGGTTCATGGAGGATTTGATCTAGAATGTATTCCAGCAAAGCCATACTGAAAATTACATACAAAGATGTTCATATACATTTTATTTCTTCTTTTTAAATGTGTATCCCTGCATACATAATGGGCCTGCTTTAATATATTTTTTATATGAAACATAATAATAAAAGTTTTCAGGTGTTAGTAGAATAATAAAATGGCTGACTATTGCAGCCCATAGCAGTCATAATATATATAGCTCATAAATCTTGGTTTTCTTGGTGGACTGTAACAATGAATCCTGATTCTTAGTTACATGCGAATTGTACCGCATTTAATTTTTAAATAATTTCCTTTTAGGAGTTGGGTCATTTATGTATCTGCTTATAAAAGCCTTTGCCTATGGTCTTACCTAAATAGCATCCCCATGATTTGTATACCCTTATTTTGCCTTAATATTTATAGCCCTTGCTATATACCTAAAATTATATTTAAAAAGAAAGTAAACCTATAAAGAATGAACCTGTGAAGGTTTAGAACAGTGCTTGGGTGTGTATTTTGAATGAATGAATTGCGGAACATTGTCTTCCATTGTTGTTGGCTCTTACAAAGTGTATAATTTGCTTAGTCCTTGATCTTTTGCATCTGACACTATGATGAATCTTAAGTCTAAACTGGAAGTCAGACTCATATCTGAGGGCCGATTACTGGCCTGTGTTAATTAAGAGTCATTAAGCATTTATCAAAAAATAGTTTATTTTTCTACCATGTCTAATTCAGATATAGAAAATATTAAGTATCAAAAAGGCAACTTTTTTTTAAGAGTCAGTGGTTAATAATAGGCTTATTTTCTTCACCTCCAAGTATATACTGTTGAATTGGCAAATCCATGTAACATAAACCTATTACATACCTTTCTCTGCAAGGCCTTAGATTTCAGTGATGATGAAAAAGAAAAAGAAGCCAAACAGAGGAAAAAATCTCAGATTCAAGGCCGGAAAAAACTCAAATCTGAATTTAATGAGCCAGGTGAGTGAATACAATATGTATAGTCATTTCTTTATCTTCATTTACATCTATATAAGTTTATCAGTAATAAAACTGAAGGAAACATATGGGTTCTCTCTTACCCCCTAGCATTCTACTAACATTTAGAGCGGTTACATAGCAGGAGGTATGGTAGTTTTATGAGCTTAAGCATATAAAAATGGCTTCCTGGGGTAACAGACAGACTAAATCTTATTACTTGTGCTTTTCAGCACTTTTTTCTTAAGATATCCATTTGCTTCCATTTTTAGAAATTTTATGATCTAGTACATGATGAACCTATTAATAATTTGAAACTATCAGTAATAGTTTGTTCCTCTTCATTACAGCGTAACATTTCAGGTATGAATTTACCAGATTACCTGACCATTCATCCATTGAAGCACATCTAGGTTGTTTCCATTTTGGGGTGATTAGGACAAAAGCAGCTATCAATATTTGTTACAAGTTTTTTGTGAAAATAGATTTTTATTTCTCTGGAATAAATACCCAAAAGTGCATTTTCTTGGTTGTATAATAATTGCATTACGTGTTTAGTTTCCTAAGAAATTGCTGTACTGTTTTTCAGCGTGGCTGTAACATTTTACATTTCCATCAGCAGTATATGAGTGACAATTTCTTTGGATTTTCTCTAGCATTTGGTGTTATCACTATTTTTAATTTTAGCCATTCTGCTAGGTATGTAGTGCTAATATAATTGTGGTTTCAATTTGCATTTTCCTAATGGCTAATGATGTTGAACATCTTTACATGTGCTCATTTACTATCTGTATCTTCAGTGATGTGTCAATCCATATCTTTTGCCCATTTTTAAATAGTATTTCTGGATTTTTACTGTCAAGTTTTGAGAATTTAAAAATGTATATTTTAGATATACTAGCTTTCTGTCAGATAACGTGGGTTGTTCATAATTTGTTCTAGTCTATAATCTTTTCCCCCTTTTAAGAGGTCCTCTTGCAAGACTAAAGGTTTTAGTTTGGAGGAAAATTAATTTATCAGTTTTGTTTTTGGAATCTGAGAACTTCCTGCTTAGCTTTAGATCCTAATGATTTTCTTCTATTTTTTTCCCTAAAAGTTTTGTAGTCTTCTGTTTTACATTTTACACTTCCCAATTCATTTTGAGGTAAATTTTGTGTAGAAAGTGAAGTTAGTCTTGAAATTGCTTTAGAGTGATAACTGCTACTTTATTTCTGTTGTTAAAAATTATTAGCGATATTCTAGGTCTTTTACCTTTCAGTATAAATTTTAGAATGTTCCGTACATCAGCAAATGTCTTGTTGAGGTTTTTTGTTTTTGTTTGCCTGTTTTTTGAGGCTCACGCTCTGTTGTCCAGGTTAGAATGCAGTGGTACAATCATAGCTCACTGTAACCTTGAACTCTTGAGCTTTTTTCTTTCATTTTCCTGACTGACAGAATCTTTTGTGTAGCAAAATTTTTAAGTTTAATGAAATTCAGCGAATCGATTCTTTCTTTCATGGATCGTGCCTTTGGTGTCCTATCTAGAAAGTCAGTATCAACTCAAGGTCATCTATATTTTCTTCTCTGTTATCTTTTAGGAATTTTGTAATTCTGCATTTTACATTGAGGTCTGTGATTCATTTTGAATTCTTATGAATGGTGTAAGGCTATTGTGTAGATTTAGTTTTTGCATATGGATGTCCTGGTGTTCCAGCCCCATTTGTTGAAAAGACTACTTTTGCTCTGTTGTATTGCTTTTGCTCTTTTGTTAAATCAGTTGATTATGTTCTATGGGTTTGTTTTTGTACTTTCTGTTTCGTCCTATTGATTTGTCTCTTCTTTCACCAGTACCTCACGCTGTGATATCTGAAGCTTTATAATAAGTCTTGAAGTTGGATAGTTTCAGTCCTCCAGCTTTATTGTTCTCCTTCAATATCGTTCCATTGTTTTTTTTTATTTTGGTTATTGTAATGCTCATTTCTAAAATTTCAGGTTTTTTTTAAATATCTTCTTTTTTTTTGCTAAAGCTTTGCAATTTTAATTTTTTAGAGCATTCATAATATCTTGTTGCAACATTTTTATGACTGCTTTACTATCTTTCATAATTCTAACATCTTTGTGATGCCCTTGGTTGATTTTTTTTTTTTAATTGAATGAAATCTCCCTGGCTTTTTTTGTAATGAGCACTTTTTTTTTTAATTGAAACTTGGGTATATTGAGTAATATATTACAAGACCATGGATCTTATGTAAATCTTCTCTTTTAGCTGGGTTTGTTGTTACATTTTCTTTGTTTTGTTTTTTAAAACACTACTCTGGCAGTGAAAGAACAGGGTAGATTGAAGTCTAGGTATTCCTCTTATCCTCTGTTGACACCTTTGGCTAAGGAGTGCTTTGTTACTGCTGGATGAGGGTAGAAGTTCTGACATCCCATAGTGTCTTTTCTTATTCCTGGAGGGACAGGAGTACTTGGTCACTACTCCCCATATGGCGTGCAGTGACACCAGTGGAGGATGGCCTTGTTATCACTGGGTGGGGACAAAATCTTAACTCTACTCAGTCTTCTCTGACATTACCCCAGTGTAAAAGATGGAAGAACACTGTGTTGCTGCCAATAGAGGTGGAAGTTCAGGTTCCCCATGTGATGTTTACTGTCATTGTGGGGAGGCCTTACTACCCACACCGTGTTCAGCTTGTTCCTGATGCTACTGTGGAGGAAGGGTTGGAGTAGCTCATTACTGCCTGTCAGGGATAGAAGTCTAAGATCTGTACTCAGCCTTTGAGAGTGTGTAGAGATGGTGCCACATTTTCGTCTGTGGTGTTTGGCTGGAGTAGAATAGTTATTGTCTAAGTGTTTTCTGTCTTGCTAGGTTCTCTTTCTTTGGCATTAGGTTTTGTCTTTTCAGTTCCTTTAAAATTGATTATTTTAAGACATACTCTTTTAATTGCCATAAGATATACTAGATAATAAAGAAAAAGGATAATTGAAATTTCAAACAGTACTTTTTGATATATTAAACTTATTTTCATTTTTGTGTTTTCCCTCCCCTCACTCAAAGGTGAAGATTTTGCTGAAGTACATCAGAATTGGAATGCTCATAGCTCTGCTTCAGAACATTCAAAAGGATATCGCAACAGAGAATTCACACGAGGATTTTCCAGAAGCAGATACCCTCGATCTTGCCATGGCAGGCCTCCACCTCAGCAGTTCTATAACTCAGAACATATGGTATCTCAGGAGACTTCAGGATTTCCTTCCCAGAGACAAGATAATCCCATTATGCCACAATACCCCTTTCCCCCTCCAATGTTTGATATGCATAATTTTTCACTCTGCCCACCACCTCCACCCCCACCCCCACCTGTAAACATGCGTTGGGCTACACCAAACATGGCAGCTCATCCATTACTTAACTTGCCATACTCCCTACCCCCACCACCTCCCCCTCCGCCGCTGCCTCCTCCACCCTCTTCTGGAGATAGTAATTCTCATTTTGGACCTTACTATTAGGTGACTATGCATTTCCAGAGAAATGTGGACTTGTCATATTATGTAGTAAGGATTTTTTTTTTTTAAAGAAAAAGTGATTATGGAGCTAGATTTTTAAAAACACTGTAAAATACTAAATGATTCCTTCTGTTGTAAGTTGATATATATTTGTAGCCTTTGTGAAATTGTATTCATATGAAAATGTCAGCTCAGATTGTTGGGAGAACATTAAATTATGTAATATTTAAAATTTTGAATTCATGCCTTCTCCCACCCAAACCCACCCAGTTAAACTATATATATATAATAATTGGTATGGAATAAGTTTCATCATGGGTAAAATATATGGAGCACATTGATTTTCTTGCTATAATCTGAAAATAAGATGAAGTCCTTTTGAGAGTCTTTATTTTTATAAATGTATACTTTAGAAATCAATTTTAATTATAAACGTAATTTGCAAATAAATTTAAATGACCATAATTTTTCTTTTTAAAGCAGTTGAAGGGTGTGTGTAGAGGAGGAAATTCTTAGATATTGGTAGAAGCTCTGATTATAGCTAAAGTAAATATTATGCATAGGCAAGCTTCTGTTATCTGTGCGATTTCCTTTATTTAGGCACCTGTTCAGAAGGCTTTACTATTTAATCTCCTAAAAGGGATACAAAGATTATTCACATTAAGATCTATTCAGGGATTTCATCTTCCATATTTGTTTCCCAGATACTCACATGCAGACTAGGTTCAATAAATAACAAGTATTTATTGAATATCACAATTTAGAGTTTTTAATTAAATGAGTAATGACTACTGCTTTATATTATGAAGTGTCAATGTAAGGGAAATTATGGGTTTTAGAACTAGAAGAGGCCATTGAAATACTCTAGTTTTCATTTAATAAATGAGGAGCCCAAGTGTCCCAAAGAAGTTAATTTAACTAAGATCACTCAGCTAGTGAGTTGATGGAAGAGTTGAACCTACATCTCCTGGTTTTCTGATTAGCATTTTCCACTAATTAGATGCTTCCCAGTCTTTCATTCCTTAACACACTTTTGTATGGCACATTGGAATAAACTAGATAACACACCACTTAGCAGAAACCCATTTACTCTGGTTGCACTGAGGCCCCACTTTTTTTCCCCATTAGCTGAGGGGACTCTTTGCAGCATTCCTAGTACACAAGTTGAGAGGCTCTGCCTTGGTATATATTAACTTTATCATGCGAGTACTTTCCTCATTATCTTTTGAAATGTTTTTGGAACTTTTAAGTTACCTTCTCAGGTTAGCATAGCCTTTTAATTATTTGCTAGAATACTGTAAGAGTTTATGAGATTGTATCTAAAAGCACTAAAAGAAAAATGCAAAACCCTTTTCCACAAGAATGGGAACAGTAACATATTATTAGACATCAAGCTGTTCTGATCATCATGGCATTTAAAAACCTGTCCATTTCTGTACCTCAGGTACAGGTTTACCTCATAGATACTGTGGCTTCAGATGCAGATCGCTACAGTCAGGTCAGTCATACAAAGTTTTGGTTTCCAAATGGATATAAAAGTTAACGTTTGTGCTCTACTATAGTTTATTAAGTGTGCAATAGCATTGTGCCTACAAAAACCAAATGTGTTTATCTCAATTGAAGAATATTTTACTGTTAAAAAGTAATAATGACCTTCAGAGCTTGCAGTGAGTTGTAATCTTTTTACTGGTGGAGGATCTGGCCTCAGTGTTCTTGGTCGCTGACTGATCAGGGTGGTGGTTGCTGAAGGTGGCAGTTTCTCCTAATAGATAGCAGTGAAGTTTGCTGCATTAATTGGCTCTTCGTTTCACCAAAGATTTCTGTGTAGCATGTGATGCTACTTGATAGCGTTTTACTCTCTAAAACTTTGAAATTTGGGATCGGTTCTTAAACCCTGCCACTGCTTTATCAACTAAGAAGTTTATGTAACATTCTAAGTCCTTTGTTACCATTTCAATAATGTACTTGGCATCTTCACCATGAATAGCCTTTACTTGAGAAGCCTCATTTTTTCTCATCCATAAGAAGTAACTCCTCATCTATTCAAGTTTTTTCATGAGATTACAGCAATTCAGTCACATCTTCAGGTTCCACTTCTAATTCTAGTTTTCTTCCTATTTCTACCACTTCTGCAGTTAATTTCCTTCACTGAAGCTTTAAACACCTCAAAATTATTCATGAGGGTTGGAATCAACTACTCCCAAACTCCTGTTAATATTGGTATTTTGACCTTATCTCATGAATCATGAATGTTCTTGACATCTTAAATGGTAAATCCTTTCCAGAAGGTTTCCAATTTACTTTGCCCCAATCCATCAGAGGAATGGCAATCTGTGACAGCTATAACCTTACAAAAAGTATTCTTATATAATAAGACTTGAAAATCAAAACTATTCCTTGATCCATGGGCTATGGAATGGATGTGTTAGTAGTCATTAAAAAAATACCTCCTTGTATATCTCCATCAGAGTTCTTGGGTATGACCAGGTGCATTGTTAATAATCAGTCACATTTCAAAAGAAATCTTTTTCCGAATGGTGGACTTAAAATCTTTAGTAAACCATGATATAAAAAGATGTGCTGTCATCCAAGCATTGTTTTTTATTTATAAAGCACAAAATTCCTAAGGACCCTAGGATTCTTGGAACTGTAAATGAGCATTGGCTTCAACTTAGTCACCAGCTACAGTATCTCTAACAAGATAGCCTGTCCTTTGAAGTTTGGAAACTAGGCATTGATTCCCACTCTGTAGCTATGAATGTCCTAGATGGCTGCTTTTTTCAATAGAAGACTATTTTGTACACATTGAAAATCTGTTGTTTAGTGTTTAGTGTATCCATCTTAGCTAGACCTGGATACCTTGTAGCTTCATCTTGCACTTGTATGTTGAGATGGCTTCTTTCCTTAAGCCTCATGAGCCAACCTTTGCTAGCGTCCCACTTGTCTTCTACAGTTTCTCTCAGCCATCGTAGAATGGAAGAGAGTTAGGGCCCTGCTCTGGATTAGGCTTTGGCTTTAAGGGAGTGTTGTAGTTGGTTTGATCTTACATCCAGACCACTTAAACTTATTCCATATCTGCTGTGAAGCTGTTTTGCTTTCTTATTCCTATGTTCACTGGAGTAGTATTTTTAATTTCCTTTAAGAAGTTTTTCTGTGCATTCACAACTTGGCTGTTTGGCACAAAAGGCCTAGCTTTTTAGCTTGTCTCAAAGCCTCAGCTCAACATGCTATCTTCACTAAGCTTAATCATTTCTAACTTTTGATGTGTGGTGAAAGATGTACAACTCTTCCGTTCACTTGAACACTTAGGGTCATTGTAGGGCTAGTAATTGGTTTAATTTCAATATTGTTTCATGAAATAGGAAGGCCTGAGGAGAGAAAGAGATACAGCACATTTGTGAAGCAGTCGGAACATACACATGTATCCATTAAGTTCACTATATTATATGGGCATAGTTTGTGGTGCCTCCAAAACAATAGTAACATCAAAGATCACTGACGTGAGATCACTATAACACAAATAACAATTATGAAAACGTTCAAAATAATGAGAGAATTACCAGAATGTGACAGAATACATGAAGTGAGCATATGCCGTTGGGAAAATGGAGTTGATATACTCGCTAGGTGCAGGATTGCTACAAACCTTCAATTTGTAAAAAATGCACTATAAAGTACAGTACAGTGAGGTGGAATAAAACAGTGTATGCCTGTAGTATTATCTGACAGGATATTTAATATCAACAGTAGCATCTGAATTATACCATTGGATCTTCGCTTCAATTAAGTTGGTATCGTAACCACTTAGGTCCAGTTGCCTCTCTATATACAGTCCTCTGTGTCTGTGGATTCTGCATCTGTGGTTCAACCAATTGTGGATCAAAAATATTTAGAAAACAATAAAATGTATGGTTGCACCTGTACTGACATGGCAGACTTTTTTTCCTTATAATTATTCTCTAAACAATAGCATATAACTATTTTTATGCAGTTTATATTATATTGGTCATCATAAATAATGTAGAGAAATTGTTTAATAGGTATTGGGAAGTGATTAAGTCATGAGGGCTCTGCACTTTATGGACTAGTGCCTTATAAAAGGGGCTGCAAGGAACTGGCTTAGATCCTTTTACTCTTCAGTCTCATCCACCATGTAAAGATGACTCAATATTTCTCCCTCAGGAGGATGTAGCAACAGGGTGCCATCTTGTAAGCAGAGAGCAACCCTTACCAGACACCAAACTTGCTAATGCCTTCATCTTGACTTCCCAGCATCTAAACTGTAAGGCTTAATTATTTATATATATATTTATTTATTTTAGAGACAGTGTCTTGCTGTTTTGTCTTACCTGGTCTTGAACACCTGGCCTTAAGCAGTGCCTCTCTCTCAGCCTTTAGAGTAGCTGAGATTACAGGCACAAGCCACCATGCCCAGCATACATTTCTGTTGTTTTTATACATGACTCAGCCTGTGGTATTTTGTTGCAGTGGTTGGTTACAAGTCACCAACTGTCTCTTATTTGGAAGAGAGAAATAATGCAGTTGTCATCATCCTCATCTTAATCTTACAGTGTTTCTTTTAAAATTGTGTCCCTAGATCTTTAAATGATGTAAAGGCAAGTACCTAAAATGTTCTACTCACATAGTTTCTCACTTTCTATGGAGAATTCTTTATATTAGCCTTTTACTGTATAGTAAGGTAGGCTGACATTCACATGATTGGGTATGGATAACCTGTTTGCATGTCTACAGTTGCAGATATAGAATGAAATTAAAATCATTGCCTAAGCTAATACATTTGTTTTATTAAGATGAGTAGCTGTAGGCCAGGTAGGGTGTCTCACACCTACAATCCCAATAACTTTGGGAGGCTGAGGCAAGAGGATTGCTAGAGCCCAGCAGTTGAAGACCAACCTGGGCAACATGGTGAAACCTCGTCTACAAAAAATACAGAAATTAGACAGGCATAGTTGTGTATGCCTGTAGTCTCAGCTACTCCAGTGGCTGAGGCAGGAAGATCACTTGAGCCCAAGAGGTTGAGGCTACAATGAGCTGTGGTCACAGCATGGTAATTGGATGACTTGTGTACTTATTGGAAATAGATATTGAAAGAACTGCGTTGAGACTGTGATATAGTTTGGACCTTTGTCCCCTTCAAATCTTGTTTTGAAATGTTACCCTGGTGGAGGTGTTTGGGTCATGGGATAGAACCCTCGTGAATGGTTTAGTGCCCTCCCCATAGTAATATGTGAGTTCTCACTCCAATAGTTCTCCCACGAGCGGACTGTTAAAAAGAGCATGACATCTCTTGCTCACATTCTCACCATATGACATACTGCTCCCACTTCACCTTCCCTGTGGTTGAAAGCTTCCTGAGGCTCTCACCAGAAACAGATGTTGTTATCATGTTTTAGAGTCTGAAGAACTGTAAGCTGAATAAACCTCTTTTTTAAATACATTACCCAGCCTCAGGCATTTCTTTATAACAATGTAAAACAGACTATTACAGACCGTCTAGGGGAAACCTGGAATAGAGTGCCAATTCATAGCTTACCAAAGGACATGTCATAGTCTGTTTTGTATTGTTGTAACAATTTAATGTATAATGAACAGCAATTTATTGGCTCACAGTTCTGGAGTCTGGGAGGTCCAATATCAAGGCATGGCATCTTGTGAGGGCCTTCTTGCTGTGTTATCACATGGTGAAGGCAAGAGGGTAAGACAGGACAAGAGGCGGGTGAACGAACTCTTACAATGGTACAGATCTCCCAGTGAGGGTGGAGCCCTCATGGTCTACTCACCTGTTACAGGTCCCATCTCTTAATACTGTTAACAGCGGCAACTAAATTGTAATGAGTTTTGGAGGGGACAGACGTTCAAACCATAGCAGGACACTTCTTTTTATTTTTTTTATTTTTTTTTATTTTTGAGACAGAGTCTTGGTCTGTCGCCAGGCACTAGGCTGGAGTGCAGTGGCGTGATCTTGGCTCACTGCAACCTCCCCCTCCCCAGTTCAAGCAATTCTCTTACCTCAGCCTCCTGAGTAGCTGGGACTACAGATGTGTGCCACCATGCCCAGCTAATTTTTATATTTTAGTAGAGACGGGATTTCACTGTTGGCCAGGATGGTCTAGATCTCTTGACCTCGTGATCCACCCGCCTCGGCCACCCAAAGTGCTGGGATTACAGGCTTGAAGGACACTTCTTACAAGCCATATAGTTAAGTCATATAGTTAAATTCCAAAATGTATCAATTTCTTCTGTGTAGGTAAGTGACTAGTAAGGGACACTAAATTATTAATATGTACGAGTGGGACATAGGGAAGTTGTAAGTAGTTAGCATGGTGCCTGTGTACAGGTCTCCACTTTTCGGGGCAATGAATATAGAATGCTTTCTCATTCTCTTTTTTCCCCACCAAATTGTGATTTGTCACTCCCTCCCCACCTCTTTTTGTTCTACATTTTTTTGTTAATTGTTTAGAGCTGGTAAACAGCAAGTACATTAAAAAAAATCGAGGCCAATTTGATAAAGAAGAAATAAGAATCTGAATTTCAGTTTGCTATAATTTAAAGCTATTTATTAAATATAAAGATGTCATATTTCAAATTCCCAGGTAGTAAAAATCTTACTGTATGTTTTAAGGAACAGTTTCTTAAGGTACCAATCATATTGAATTGGGAAGACATAGAGTCTCAAATATAATGTGTCATTTATATGTATTTTCTTTCAATAACAGTGTTTGGCATTTGGATTTGAGTTTATGAATTTATATTGTAAATTTTTAGGCACTATCTTAAACTGATTCAGTGCTTTCTACTAGTTCTATACAACTTCCCATTATTGAGTTATTTTCTGTTGCAGAAAAGGCAATCTCTTTCACCTTTGGATGACTCAAATCAAGGAAAATAAGCAAAAGAAGATAAACAATTCTGTGTGTGTCTTTACTTTTCAGTCTTTCCCAGTCTGGCTGAGGCACATAAAGTAGACTTGAGGAAATTCTTTACTTAGGACACTGTCTTAACCTATTCAGGGTATTTAGAATTTTTTGAAATAAGTAGTCATATACTTCTCTAATTAGGTGCTAAGGAAAGTAAATTAGTGTATTATTAAATATTAGATCTTAAAAAAATTAACTAGTTTGTAAATTCATGTTCACACAATATGCATTCATAAAATATTCATTCTGACGTTTCATGTTGGACACCAATGATAATAAGCTCTGAGGTCTAAATGTTTAAAAAATAGATAATTTTAGTAATGCAAGCTGGAAAATATTAAAAAATGATGAACAGCATTATTCACAGTTATTCATTTTCAGGTTATGTTGCACTTACACTGTTTATGATTTAGTGCATTCAGGATACAAAAGAAAAAAAAATACATGTATTTGTGTTCTTTTCTGCAGATGAATTGCCAATATTTTAAAAGTTTTTTTTAACTTCTCTTTTTGTGACCCAGTCCAATCCTAAATTTATATGGATATAAATTAGGATATGGATAATATCCTGTATGGAAGTGGATTACATGCAATTATGTTCCAGAAAACTAAGGAACTATTTTCCATGGTGTGGCTGAAATTAAAGTTGAAAAATATTTCCTTAATGTCTATCAGGCTGGGCGTGATGGCTCACGCTTCTAATCCCAGCAGTTTGGGAGGCTGAAGCCGGCGGATCACTTGAAGTCAGTAGTTAGAGACCAGCCTGGCCAGCATGGTGAAACCCCATCTCTACTAAAACACAAATATCTGTGTGTGGTGGTACATGCCTGTAATCCCAGCTACTTGGGAGGCTGAGGCAGGAAAATGGCTTGAACCCAGAAGGTGGAGGTTGCAGTGAGCCTAGATCACTCCACTGCCCTCCAGCCTGGGTGACAAATCGAGACTGTCTCAAAAAAGAAAAAAAAAAAAGTCAGACCAAAGTACTTGTTTTGAGCTACTAGCAGCAATGAAATTACATCCCATTTTTTACTCTAAGTGCAATGATAAATTGCTGTCATTGGCAGACTAGATATATGCAATTAGTGTCCTGAAAACAAAGTACAAATTTGTGTATCAAATGGTAAAATACTTAATAATGAAAATATGTCATGAAGAAAAACATCTAATACTCTCTTCTGTGCATTCTATAGAAAGCATACATATACATTATTATATGTATAAATATATATGTATTTCTTTGGAGGCTGGTGCAGAAAGCCTAATTGTTATGCATATTTTAGTTGAGTACCTTTCATTTCTACTCATATAAAAGTGAAATGGGAATAAATTTTACATTGCATATCTTGTAGTTAGTTCCATTACTCCATCTTTCAAACAGAACAAACTGACCTTGTTTATGTGGTAAAAGCTTTTTATTTATATTGAGAATAGATGGGCCAAACATTGTTTCTAACAAGAGATATGACCCAAATAGTAAAATAGAGCAAATGCAAAGGGATAAAATTTTAGCATAGAGATTCCTACTAAGAGGTAATAAATAGATTATGGTGGTGTGTAGTGTTTGGATGATAGATATGAAATTCTAAAATGTTCTCAGTAGCCACTACAGTGTGCAAAACCTATTATTGTAGCTCTTTAAGCCTTTTATTATTGCAGCTCTTCAAGTGTTTTATTGTATACTCCCATGACATGGGAGTACTAGGAAACATTTGCACTCTCCCCCAACCTGCAGCTCTTGCAAATATCTGTTTGATTATGTATCATGCAGTGTCTCATCTCAGACATGATTTGGCACTGTCAGACTCAATTATGTAAGCTGTCTTAATAGCTGATTTATTCAAAGCAAGTGACTAATTTTCTTTAACATCAGTTTGGTTTTTGTTTTTGTCTAAGTATAATTGCTCATATATTTGTTGGCAGCAACATAAGTTCAGATGAATTCTGCTTACCAAGATTATGGGCAGAAAAATATTTAAGGGCAGATG